TCAGTGGTCAGAGTAATCTGTTAAACAGCGGCCTGAGACACGGTCTCAGGTATGCCGAGTGGGTTTGGGACCAGCTACCCCGCCTGAGCGGGTCACTTCTTCCCTGCGACCTTTTCTGTAAAATACTGCCGAAGGGAGCTCCGTTATCTCGTAGGGACTTTGTAACCTCGCCTCTGATTCTCATCCTTCCCCAGGCTCCGGGAGGAAGGGAGTTTTAGGTATTTAGAGAACAGTTGAACAAAACAAAAACAATGGTAAGAGTTTTGTTGCTGGGAGGACTTTAAGTGTTGGAATCTTGTCATTTGATTACTTGCCTGCAGCCTTGCTCAGACTTGCCCTTGTCAACTAAGAGTAATAACAGTATCTTCCTCTTAGGGCGTCTCAGCTATTTGTATAGGAGAAGGCTTGTCAGATATGTAACACAGTGCAGGACTTGGAAAATGATGGCCATTTTTTCTCGTAAATTTTATATATTTTGTTTCTGCGATTGAACACTGTACATGTAAAATGTACAAATGTACATGGTTTACATTCTCACCATCCTTTTCTGATTGTTCCACCCTCATTAATGTAAATTCCCTGCACCCGACGCTTCCTATAGAATCCTGTGAGTTGCTGTTGTCAATTTGTAGTTCTAAAAAGAGCACACTATTCAAGGAAGACTTTACTTATTAAGCTATGATTGTTTGGTTTTAAGAAGAACTTAAGGAGATATTTTTGGTTTAAGAGCTAAAGATTATCTCAGAGCATTCCTGCCTTATGTTCATCCACACTCCATGACTCCAGAAAGTCTAGAGTCCATGAGAATTTGGAATTCTATTCTGCCTTTTTTTTCTTTTTTTAATCAGGATTTTTCCATGGAATCTTAGGTCAAAATGCCCAGTAGTGATAGCTACTTCTTGTGGTCACCTGGCAAAAAGTCATACATTCCATATTCTCCTACTCCTGACTCTCCTTCCTGTTGGTCTAGGTCATTGGTTCTCAACCTGTGGGTCGCGACCCCTTTGGGGGTTGAACGACTCTTTCACAGGGGCCCCCCATTCATAACAGTAGCAAAATGACAGTGATGAAGTAGCAACAAAAATAATTTTATGGTTGGGGGGTCACCACAACGTGAGGAACTGTATTAAAGGGTGGAGGCATTAGGAAGGTTGAGAACCACTGTTCTAGGTGAAGAGAGACCCATTGTTGTGCCTTGGATGGCTGTTTGTGAGCTTTGCAGACCTCAGGCACTGTGGAACTAAGGAGGTGGAACACAAGCACTGAGCACTTGAATATTAGGCCAGTTAACTGGGTGTCTCATGAAACCATGAGCAAAGGAACCAGTTCTTTTGAGATGTTCAGTTGTACGTGAGCAGGCTCAGCAACTTTTCTTTTGTTGTTGTCGTAAATCTATCACACAACTTTTGCCGATTCAACGATTTACGGGTGTTCAACGTATTAGCAACAGTTACTTTAGTTAGCTGTGCCACCCAGTCTTTAATGTGATTTTCATCACCATCACCCCCATCTACCCCCCAACCCTGATAACCACCACTAAACTGTGACCTCTATACATTTACCTTTCTTGTCTTTTTATATAAGTGAGGTCATATAATATTGGCCTTTTTGGGCTTAGCTTATTTCACTCACTATAATGTCTTCAAGACCCACTCCCTTTTCCCAGGGGCTCAGTCAGGTCCACTGTATGTATGTACCACATGTTATTATCCATTCTCCTGTTATCAGGTGTCTATGCCTTTTGGCTATTGTGAATAATATTGCAGTGAACATATGTGTGCAAGTCTTTGGTGTCTGCTTTCGGGTCTTTTAGGCAGATACCTAGGAGTGGGATTTCTGGGTCAAATGATAGTTCTATTTTTATTTTTTTGAGGCACTGTGCACATTGTCTTCCACATTAGTGGTACTATTTTGCATTACTCCCAGCAGAGGATAAAATTGCCAATTTCCCCAGATCCTCGCCAAAAAATGAAAACAAAATTATTTTTTATCTTAGCTGCCCCAGAGGGAGTGAATTGGTGCCTTCCTGTGGTTTTGAGTTACATCTTTCTGACGGCTGGCAGTATTGAGCATCTTTTCATGTGTTTGGTGGCCTCTGAATGTCCTTTTTGGTGAAATGTCTAATCAGTTTATTTGCCCATTTTATGATTGGGTTATTGGTCTTTTGGTTAAGTTGTCAAAGTTACACACACACACACACACATATATTTGGTTTATTATCATAACTTCTTATCAGATTTCCAAAGATATTTCAATCTGTAGCATGTTGTCTCACTTTTGTTAAAGTCTTGCTGAATAAAATATTTCAATTTTTGTGAGATCCAATTTATATAGTTTTTTTCTGCTTGTGCTTTTCTTACTATGTTAGATAATTCACTGTTGAAATCTAGGCAGGGCAACTTGTTCCTCTAGGAATTTTGCCAGACTTCTAGCTTGGCTTCCACTAAGTATAAGCATTGCTATCCCAGATATTCTGACCTCAAATCTATATTTTAACATGCTCTGTGATCCTTATTTAAATAGATTTTTGTGGTTTACGTTCATACTTTTTTGCTATTGTGAATTTGGTCTTGTGTCTGATGTGAGACATCGATCCTGTTTCCTTTCTTTTTTTGAACATAGGGAAATTTTTATTTTCTCAGTGCCATTTATTTAAGAGACTTTTCTTTCCCTATCAAATGGATTGAGGACCCTTGTTAAAAGTTACAGTACATGTAAATGATGGCTCTTATGATGTTTAAATGATTCTACAGCTGGACATCATTTGTGGAAAACGATGTAGAATGTTACCTGCATATTCTATCACAAATGAAAAAGTAGAGTTGGCCTTTTAAAAATTAAACTTATTGAGAATGATGAGGGCATTTAATGTACAAATGTGCTTTACACAATTGATGTATGTGTGGATTGTGATGAGAGTTGTATGAACCCCTAATAAAACAATTTTAAAAAATTAAACATACTTTGAGACAGATGTGTGGTAATAATTTCTTTTAGAAGAATTAATACAATACTAGTCCCAAGAAGTTGGAGATTAGAGATATTCCAAATGTCCAACACTTCCAAGATGCTATTCTGCTCCATCCCTCCTCCACTCTTCCCTTGAGTGTATTCCCTTACATCCCCGGGCTTTTCGGTCTACTTCAGTGGCCCACAAAAAATTGGGGCAATGTTTCACATGCTAGTGGGTGCTGTTCAGAGATGCCCTCAAGGAAACAAAGAGTGTAACTTGGTTCATATCCTGTGTTAAAGTCGGGTCTTAATCCCACCCTAATCCAGCCCATTAATATAGTCGAGAATGGGACTACAGCCACAGGCATATAGAGACCGGAATTATACTACATAAGGAATTAAGGATAGAAAGGCCATACAATTTTATTGACTATAGCTCAAATTGTAGATTCAGGTGCAGTTGTAAGAAATAATAGCGATCCCCTGTATCTTTCACCCAGTCTCCTCAGTAACATCATGCAATAGTACACCAACAAACTCCAATATGGCCAGACGTCATTTTACTGTGATTCACTTTATTGTGCTTTACAGATAATACACGTTTTAAAAGTTGAATGTTTGTGACTTCCCTGAGTCAAGCTGGTCTACCAGTGACATTTTTTTCCACTGGCAGGCATATACTGTACTCATGTCCGTCACGTTTTGGTAATTCTCACAATATTTCAAGTTTTTCATAATACTATTATGTAGTGTACTAAACTGCAGTGCAGTGAAACAGAACTTTTATATGTAGTAGGAAATTGAAATTTTGTGTGTGTGTGACTAGCTATATTGCAATATTTGCTTTATTGTCCTGGACTGGAACTGAACTCGCAATTTTACCTAGGTGATTCTGCCATCTAATCACGTCCAAATCATAGGGACCCTTAATAGACTTTCTGAGGCTGTAAGTCTTCATGGGAGCAGCAGTCTCATCCATCTCCTAAGCAGTGACTGGTGGGTTTAAACCGCTGACCTTATGATTAGCAGCCCATACCATTGCCTACTGTGCTACCAGGAATCCCTGTCTCCTAAGCATGCCTATACAGTCCACTCATCCTACTTTGTTTTTGCTAATATTATTTGAGCTCACTTATGTATACATTTAGTTCAGCACCGTTTTTATTATGTGTTGGTTTGTGTATTCACCACTACATAGTCCTATCACTAAAAGGATCTTCGCTGGCCCTTTGAGAACTACACCTGTTTTCCCTTACAAGTGTGCTACCCCCTCACCCATGGCAATGACTCTTCTCTATTTTCATTTTGCAATTTCAAGAGTGG